TACATACATACATATGTATGTACATTCATAGTTCGTTTCCTTCTTCTTTTGCTTGCTTGCTTCTTTATGCCTTGCTTGTGCCTTGCCTTTCTTTTTCACACCGCTGCAATGAGAATATTGGCAACAGCAGCAACAACATCAACAGAAAATGCCCTACATATTTTCTGTTTGCGTATTCGGGCGTAACAAGTGACAATAGACGACATTGTGCTGGAGATCTATTGTCTGAACATTGTTATTAATTTTGTGTTATTTAATTTGTGTAAACATATATTTGTAGATATGCATTACTGTTGTTTCTGATAAACTGTCTTCTAATCAGCTGATTTCGGCATTTTGTTGGTATTCAAGAAGCAAATGTGTGAATGCAGGGTATGCACACTTCGTCATCACCGACTCTTGTCTGTTTCTTTTTTTATTTTCATTAATATCTGCGCTGTTTGCTTGCCTTTTTCTTGCTTTGCTTTTCACGACGGCAGCGGCAGCAGCAGCAACAACAACGACAACGACAGCAACGTCAGAAGCAACTGCGACGCCAACGTCGACTGCACGACGTTTTTGTGCGCTGTGTAAAGCGAAAAAAAATTCATTTTCAGTTGACGCTTTTGTGTGGGTGTGCGTGGCACGCAAAAAAAAAAAAAAAAGGCAATACACAATTTAGAAAAAATTTATACATTTGCAATTAACAAATACTTCTCAAGTCGCAAGAAATTTGCGCATAGAACTTAATTCGCTGCCATTTTGACCGACAGCTTGTTGAGCGTAAGTTAGTTCAGCCTCTCTGGCTACATGTGTGCTTGTGTGTGCGTGTGTGTCCCTGTGCGTGAGTGAGTGTGACACTGCAATTAGCAGAGCTTCAAAGCTCTCAACACCAAATTCAACACTAACCGTCTCGCTTCCGCTCTCGCTCTCATTTGACGCAGGTGGATCTGATATTCAACGAGGAGGGCTCATGCCCGCTGTGCAACAAAACCTTCTCTCGGAAATCCTCGCTCATGACGCACATACGCAATCATTCGGCTGAGCGCAAATTTGTGTGCAGCTACTGCCACAAAGGTGAGTACAACAACAATAACAACAACAACCCAGTTCACCTGTTCAAGCCGAGCGCATAGCTTTATTCAAGTCAAAACATACGGTGATCATTCGATATAGAAGCCAAATTGATCAGACAACTATATAATAAATATGTATGCATACATACATATGCAGTATAAAATATGTATATACGTATATACATACAGACATACATATATACACACATACATACATACATATAAATCCTAAAATTTTTGTTTTATATTTAAAACTGTGCCGATAAGAATATTTACACACATACATTTTGTTGTTGTTCTTTTTTAAAATAAATATGTAAATAAATAAAATGTTATAAGCTTTAAAATAAGTTCTATCTTAATGAAAGTGGGAATCGGGCTAAAATGTTTTTTTTTTTTTTTTTTTTTTTTTTTTTTAATTTTAGTGTTATATATATTGTATTATATCTTGATTTAACTTCTATATAGTATTGATTGAAGAACAGCTACATATAATCTCTGCATCTTCTCTCTTTCTCGGTCTTTTTGTCTTTCTCTCTCTCGCTCTCTCTCTCACACACACACACTCTCAACCTCTGCAGGCTTCACGCAAGCCGCAAATTTGCGCAATCACGAACGCATACACACAAATGATCGGCCGTATCAGTGCGTGGACTGCGGCAAGACCTTCACTCAAATCACAAATCTTAATAATCATCGACGCCTCCACACCGGGGAGCGTCCCTTTGTGTGCAATGAGCCGGAGTGTGGACGCAGCTTTGCGCAGGTGAGTAGCCCGGCTAATCTATAATTCATAGTCATTAACCTATTTGCTTTGGTCGTTTACCCTGGCAGGTGACCAATCTGAACAATCACATGAAGTCGCATCACAAAGTGCAGCAGTACTGCTGCAACGTGTGCAGCAAGAAGTTCACGCAGGTCACCTCACTGAACCAGCATCTGCAGGCGCACGCCGGCGTCACCGGCTACTATTGTCCGCGGTGTCCGGAGAAGAACTTCAAGCTGCAGTCGCAGCTGCATACGCACATGAAGACGCATGGCTTGGCCTTTCCCTATGAGTGCAGCAAGTGCGATGAGAAATTTCTGCAGCAGTCGCATTTGGATCAGCATCTGAAGATGCACGACGAGTTCAAGTTCAAGTGCGATATATGCCCCAGCAGCTTTAACCAGGAGTCGTTGCTCAAGAAGCATGTGCAACGCCATGTGGAGGGTCGCTACCTGAACTGCCCGGTGGCCAATTGTGCCGAATCCTTTGCGGTGCGCCAGCATCTATCGAAACACTTGCTCACCAATCATTCGCATCACGAGCTGCCGCCGCCGAAGCGCTCCAAGAAGACGATCACGCTGCAGTCGCCCCAGCAGCCGCTGGCGATGATCGGACAGCCCCTATCGCTGCAGCACACGACAGGGCAGCGTAAGTGCACTTAGTGTAGTAAATCAGACGACATTTAAATACCCTGTAAATGCGGGGCATGTCTGTTTAGGTCTCCAATTGACAACGTCACTATTAATTTAAATGAATTTACTTAGCTATATTTAATGCATACGAAAATATTAATTTATTTTTCTTTTGCAGGTGGCAGACCGCCCAAAAACAAGAATAAGACCTCACTGGCAGCCACGGCAATTAAAATAGAGATCAATGAGCCGTTGCATAGCCAGCACATCATCAGCAGTGCCAGCGGCCTTTCCATACACCAGCAGATCAATCAGCATATGCAACAGCAGCAGCAGCAGCAACAACAGCAGCAGCAACAGCAACAACAACAGCAGCAGCAGCAACAGCAGCAGCAGCACCTTCATCTGCCCATGGGTCAGGCGGTCAAGGCGCGCTTTATACCCACTAAATAGAAATTAGTTAGACGCGGCGTGCGTGAGCGAGATAAAGAGAGAAAAAAGAAAGCGAATGAGTGAGAGTGAGAGATAGAAGAAGAGAAAGAGATAGAAATACAGATGTAGCTAGCTACTCAGTGGCGTTTTCGATCGATCTGGCGTGGCTCCACGCCCTCCCCTGCCCCTTATCCTAACCCCAGCTCAGCTCTAGCAATAGTTAAAATACAAAAATTAATAAGACTAGTTTTCAACAATATGCATCACATATCCTTCAAGCACATACATAGCCAAACGTACATATTTACACGCAAACATACGATACATAAACAATATGCAAATTATGTTAGCCGATAACCGATACTAATAGGGAAAAAATAGAAACCGATAACCGAGTAAATTAATTGCACAAGTGATGGCACCCTCCGCACACACAGACGCCATCTGGCGGCGGCGGCGCGCATCGGCTGAGGCTGCTGGTTCGGTTTAGTCGGCTCCTCGCGCATGACGTAAAGGACGCCGCAGCTCTTGCGCCAATTGCGGCTGTCAGCTGGACGCCTGCGCCTAGCGCCCGTTCCGTCACTTAAACAAATCAAACCAAATATTTAAATCAAGAATCAAAGCAATACTTAAACCGTTTTTAAGCAAAAAGAAGACAGACTAAAAAATTTATACATACATACATACATGCATACATCATYAGGCAGCAGAGATCATTGGGCAGCACCAGACGAGCGGAGATGTAACGTATCGTCGCACGCATCGTCACGTCACGTAATGTAACGTAACGTTAAGCAACAACAAACAATTGTAACTTAAATCGAATTAAAATCTAATAATTAAGTGTAAAGATGTAACAAGCAAAGCAAAACAAAGTAAAAGTGCATAAACAAATTCAAATTGAAAAAAGAAACACGCAAAAAAAATGAATATTAAAAAAAAAAAAAAAACGAAAAATACTTACAATTACAAGTAATTACGTATAAATAAATCCATTTAATTTGATATGTATTTTAAGCAATTAGTTTAAGTGTTTTTATTTTTTTTTTTTTAATAAAACTTAAAGAAATTATGATAAGTTAGCCAAGTGTTTGTCTCTATATGCAAAGGAAGATTTATGGAACTAATTTTATTTAATGCTGAGAACTTAAACTTTGAAGCATGGGCGTTACCGACTGCAGAGTACCCATTCAAGGCCCAGGTTCATTTTCCGATTTGCCACATCCTCAATTGGTATATATTATTTTGGTATATATATTATGTGCAATCAATTGATGTCTAAGATAAAGGAATCTTTCTAATTCCAGAGATTCAATGTCAAGTCTCTAGCGTTGATAGCGGCGAAATGGTTGACGGTCATAGGGACAGGGGGGCGGACAACAAGACAGGCAATGGAGAAACCCAATATACCCATTTCACTTTGGTGAATGAGCATACAAAAATAGATCTGAATTAGTAAGCGTTTTGGTCACTCGAAGGCATTATTCCCTAATTTCCAGGCAGCTTGAGCAAATTTCTTCTTTATTCGTTATCTCTGGTAATTTTTTGATTAATATTTATATTAAAATAGTTTAGTTTGTCTCTTTTAAAAGTATTTTCTTTTCATTTTATTTTTGAAAGCATTTTCGTTCTCCTCTTGGCTTTTATAAATTTATTATTTTGAAATTTTTAATTGATATACTTTTAAATTTCAGTGGTAAAATATTTGTTCCTTAATAATCCATATAGTATCCATGCCTTATATAATAAAACAAAAATTTTGTTTCTTAGAAACCCAATCTTAGATTTATGTATTTTGTATCTTTTAAGCTTTGCGATATTTTGCTTAAGCATTTGCTTGTTAGTGGGATTTTCTGTATATGCCAAAATAGATAATGACAGTATTTGGATCAGAGGCGCTTGAGTGTCTACTAGTAGAAGTTACTTTATATTAATTAACCGATTATATACAAAAAGATCGACGCACAAGATTTCACAACTGTCAGTCGCAATAAAATTAGAAATGCGTAGAAAAAATCTGTTGTTCAAGTCTGTAATTTGATATTTGAGCACAGTTTGATAATTCGAATTCTTCTATGTCATATTTGAGAGCGCTTCTTGTTCTCTCATTTCACTTTGTATTTATAGCTAAATTCTAGTTAAGGCCTGCTTATGCCACAAATTAGACACATTCTCTGAGAATTGTGCATGTACAAGTGTGTTTTTGTTTTATATATAATATAATCTATGCAACAAACGTATAAAAGCAAAACAGTCAAGTCAGATAGGAAGGTAAAAGAGCTAGGACTAGCTGGCCTGCAGGCTGGCCAGCCGTATGTCGAACTCCTCCTTGTGCTCGTTCTTCAGATAGCGACGCATGCCGTGCAACAGGTATCGCAGCTTGGGTGCACCCAGCACATCCAGAAGCAGCACCATTAGCACCTCGAAACAGTTGTCGCCGCCAGTTTTGTACGCCAGCAACGCCTTGCCGAAACTGCGAAACTTATCGCTGTCCACGACGCTGCGCACCTGCAAAGAGAAAGCAAAGAGTTAAATTGAATTTCACTAGAGATTAGCAGTTTTGTGGGGACAAACCTCACGCAGAAAATCTGCGCGTGATTCAGGCGCCTCCTTAAGCGGATATTCGGCTGGCTTTGCAGAGCAACATCTACTGTCGCTTCCGCTGCTGCTGGTGTTGCCGTAGCCGCAGCTGTTGCTGGTGCCTGGCTCCGTCTTGACCATATCAGTGCTGCTGACCAGCTTGTAGCGCTTCTTGCCACTGGTCAACGATTCGTTGGCTGTCGGTGAGCTACGCTCGCGCTTGTGTATCTTAACTAGATCGGTGTTATTGAAGTCGATGCTCTGTGTGGGTGAAGCAAAGTTAGACAATGTATAAATTGGGTTTGTCGCAAGGCATAATCTACCGTCACATTGGAGTTGAGTCGACTCATGAAGTCCATGGCATTGGGCGCTGTTTGGCTATGATTGGTGCAACCGGCTGCATTGACATAATCCGCTGGCGTCCAGCTCTTAATGGAGTTGGCCATTTCCGCTTTGCTGCAAGCAACAACAAGAACAACAGCAATTAAGATAGGTCTGCAAAACTCAATATTCAAGACTTACGCTGCCAGCTCGCTGGCCAGCTGAAATTTGTTGACTCCAGAGCCGGGCTCACGCTTGATTTGGGTGTTGCTGTTGTAGCTGGGCGTCAGCGTCGGCTGTTCCTCCTTGCACACGATCTGCAGCGGCGGCTCAACGACGCGCTCGTCGGGCTGCACCATCTGTGGGCGGCAAAATGACATTTGTTAGTATCGATAGAGAGAGTTCTTTGACTCTGGTTAGCTCTAACCGTTTGCTCTGCATGCTTGAAGAATTGCCGCAGCTCGCGCACAATGGGTCCAAATGGCGACGATTGCGGTCGCGCGCCCAGGTGGCCACGTATCCACTTGGACAGCTGCTGCACCTGCGAGGCATCCTGGAAGCGTGCATCACACAGCAGAATTGCACCATAGTCGTGCCGGTGGCGAATGACTCGCCCAATCGCCTGATTGACGGCACGCGTCGCATCCAGATTATACCATTCCTGACCGCTTAGCAGTTGGTTCTCCTTGGTGCGATTTGTTTCCAGATAGCGACGCTTCAATATCACCTTCGGATCCTTCAAGGGCGGAAATGGCAGCCCGGTTATGATCACAGCCCGTCCATTGCGATCGGCAAAGTCCAAGCCCTCGGACACCTTCCCCCGACACACGGCCATGAAGCAGGCGCCCTTCGAGTCGCGTATCGCCTGGTAGAACTCCTCCATGGTGCTGGTAAACTGATCCTTGCCGCGCGGCTCCAAGAATATGGGCTTGCGACTGGACAAGTCCGCCCACAAGCCGCTCGCCTGCCAAGCGTCCACGCACTGATTCAACATTGGATACGATGGAAAGAACACCAATAGCCCATCCGGCACGATTCGCGATACATTCAGAATCGTTTGGCCCAGCGAGCTGATGTACTTTGGATTGTCGCTGTGAATGAGTGGATGACAATATCTGTTAATGACTGCTCATTATCATGCTGATCAATATATATATATATATATATACATATATATGTATATATATACACTGCATTTGTATTGGCATACGACGAGCTCGTTTAGCTTCTGTTACTCTTGCTTATCTTATCTCACAGCTGGGATCTAATGTTGGTAAAATGGTGCAAGATATTTTGAGTACATTTTCTTTGGACAACCCGTTAATCTACTGAAGCCATCAACGGATGGGCTTTATATTATCAGCACTATTAATATGAGAATAATACTAAACGAAGTCTTCTTCGAATCAACAGTTCTATAATGATCTCTGTATAGCTGATATATTAGTTTTCTATAAGTACAATATATGGAGTATATATTTCTTGCAAGCCAATGAAAATAATTACAATTTATTTTAAAGAAACTAAAGTAAAATAGAATTGTGATTCCTTTAAATAAATTTTTATTTAATTTCATTGATCTTAACCTTTTTACTATCCCACTAGCTATTTTCATTAGCATCTCAGCTTTATTCTTTAGACTTTTAGCTTTATTCTTTAGATCCGTTAGCTAAAGTGCTATCAACTCTTCCTAGCTAAACAAAATTTGTTTCGTATTGATGATAGATATTTTATATTACATATAGCATTTTCGTCTATAAAATGCATCAACTGTTAATCACTCATTAAATTAATAATCTCAAATCAAGGCATCTGTCGGCTTTTCTTTGTAAGTTATTTTCGACATTTTTCGTGGGCTAAATCGTGTTCAATAGTTTTGTCAATGCTAACAAAAAAGCCATTCAATGACACAGTATAGCTACACGAAATTCCCGCTAGCCACTATTTCACAATCGTTCCAATCTGCGTTTTTAAAACGTCAGAGAGCTGAGGTGAAAGTAGACAAAAATTGACAAAAGCTGTGGGCCTCAAACATGCTATATTAAGATATTGTCAATATGTACGTTAATGCTAACATATAAGCCATTCAATGCCTGACTCAAAATAGCTATAACTCCCGCTAGATACTATTTCACAATTGTTCCAATCAGTGTTGCCATTTTATCTTATTTTCGGCCAGATTTGGCTTAATCCCAAGTCGTGCTGCCAATTTTTCCGGGCAAGAAAATGCTAAATTAGCCTTTCAAACCTGCTAGAAACGGCTAGATCAAGTTTAAGAATAACCAGAAATATAGCCATTCAGTTTTTATACCCTGAACCCATTGAAAATGGGAAATCAGGGTGTAAAAGTATATATATTCTTGATCAGGGCGACAACCTGAGTCGAGTTAACCCCGTCCGTCCGTATGTATGAACTCATCGATCTCAGAAGATATTAGAGTTAGAGACTTGATTTTTTTTAATGTCCGTAAAGAAAAGTCCATCCACAAGAAAAGTTATTAACCAATTAAGTTCCAAAAGTAGGGCCACACTGCAGCCAATGCGTCTTTATCCATGCGTGCGTATGTGTGTGTGCATGTGTGATTTCTTGTGTAAGAAAGAAAGACGCGAAGAATTATTGAAATATCAGTTTCCTGAAGGCTTCAGTGGATCTCGTACTCAAGCAGTCTCGACTAGACCTTTCTTATGTGAAAATTGACAATAAAATCAATTTTCTCCTCGGCAGTGTACGAATTGTTTGTGCCAATAATATTCAAGTACTTTGGAGGCACTTTCAATAATGCTGATTTGATTTTAAGAAATGTCAACTTTCCCGCAGCTAGATTACGATTTTTCTAGCAACTGGCAGTTGAAAAAGGCCAGATATGGCTGGTAAAAGGCTAAGTGTTGCCCTGTTCCCAAGTGGGATAGCGGAAAAAAATCAGAAATTTCGGTTAGCTAGAACTCTAGCTTGCAATAATTTTAGATTTCTTGGTCGCCTTTCTAGCTAGATCTAGCTGTTTGTGCTCCGGAATAGCAGCACTGTTTGTAAAGTGCCTGAGCTAAAAGCGGAATACCTAGCTACAGTCGACTCTTGTTATTTCAAACCTGCGTTATTTCGAACCTCTCATTAATTCAAAGTTATCACTCAGTAATTCGAACTAAAAATCATTGCTATGACCAGTGTTGCCGAATCAGCTATTTTGTAGCTAGATCTGGCTACTTCTTGAGTCCGATTGCTACACAAATTTTCAAACAGCTATTAGCTACAAATCTGGCTATTTTCAAATATTATATATAGCTAAAATGCAAGCGAACTTATGACAAAATAGGATTCCCTTGAATTTCGAAATAACGAGAGTCGACTGTATTTTCATTAGTCTCTAATCATTAATAAACTAGCTCATTAGCATCATAGCATTACTCATTGGCCTAGGCTCTGTGATTTAGAAGCACATACGATTCAAGCTTCATTAGCCACCAGCTAAAACCACTTAAGAATTACAAGCAAAACCTGTGACAGCGTTATGCAACTTTTTTTTTTGGTTCAGTTTATCAGCAGTTCGTGTTCAGCATAGCTTCGTATACTTACCGATTCTTATAGTTGGATATGAGCTGCTCACGATCTGGACCAGTGCCAATGATCTTCACATAGACCTGCGACTGATCCACTATGTGCGGATTCTCTAGATGCTGGGCCACCGGTATGGCCAGCTCGGCAATGAGCGGCTTCAGCGGCGCCAATGTGCCGCTGGTTAGGATGACACTGCGCACTTGGGTATTGAGCAGCTGCTCCATGCCGAAACCCGGATTGAAGCACCAGAAATTGATAATCTTTGCCGTCTTGGAGACGGTGCTGGTCGCATTGTTGCCCTTGCCCAGCCAGCCGGTTTGCTTGCTGTTGCTGTTACCCGCTGGCTTCGTCTGCTTGGTGTCCTCGATCTGGACATGGACCTTGAAGCTGCGATGCACCTTCGCCATGATGTCCTCCTTGTTGGCAAACACGATGTTCAGCAGATCGCTGAGCACCATGAAGCTGCCTCCCTTGCGCAGCATGGAGTGCTGCGAAGCGACCATGAGGTACTGCACCAGCTTGTCCAGCAGGGCGACAATTGTGGCGCAATTGCCATAGGTGAACTGAAAAGGGATTTGGGCATGAGGATTGGCTTTTCTTATACCAAAATAACTTACATTTGCCTTGCCGAGCAGCTCGTAGATATGGGCAGCTGGATAGGTGGTGCCTTCGACTTGGTTCTCGACGACGACGCCATCGATGGCCTTCTCCAGCTCCAGCAACATCTCCTTGAGCAGCGTCAGGTCGTCAAGGGTGAAATCTTTGGGCTCCTCGGGCCCGCCTGAGTCCTGTGAGTCGGCGCTGGTGAAGATTTTCATAATGTGCGTTACATCCTCAATGGCCATGGCCACGTCGGAGGAGCGTATTTGCACCGAAGCGGACTCCTCGCAAATCTTCTCAATGTTATGTGCCTCGTCAAGGATCACAATGGTGTTGCTTAGCTCAATCTTGTTGGCCTTGCGGGCTTTCGGGTCCAGCAGGTAGTTGTAGGGCATGAACGTGATGTCTGCACTGCTGACCAGCTCCTTGGAGGCATAGTACGGGCACATTTTCAACCGCTGTCCTACCTTGACCAGATCTTCGATGTCCATGATGCTAGGTCCACGAAAGTCGGGATGATCCTTCTTGGACTCGACGCGCAGCTGGAACGAGCACGTCTTTGCGTGCACCTTCAGCTTGCACATGTTCACTTTGTTCGAATTGCCCTGTTCCTTCATCACGTCCGGATGTATGCAGAGCTGATCTCGCGAGCCCAGCACCACGGATCGCATGCTGGCATAGGCGGTACGCTTCAGCTCCCGCATCGCCTGGGTCAGCTGGGAGTGGGTGCGCGAGGCATAAATGACCTTGGGCACACCCCAGTTATTGGCCTTGCCCATGGTCAAGGCCAAGTCGGATATGGCCCCGGTTGCAGAGCCTCCTGTTGCTTGCCTCTGTTGCTGCTCCATTTGTAACTTTTGCATGTTTATCTGGTGCTCGGACTGCCGGGTACGTATCCAGGCGAGCGAGGAGCACAGCAAACTTAAGGTTTTACCTGTGCCGGTCGGCGACTCTAATACGCCGTTGGTGCCATCGCGCAGGCACATTATTACTTTTTCCATAAAGGCGCGTTGCACCTCGTACGGCTCGAAGGGGAAATGTACCGGTATTCCGGCAATAATACTCTCTGGCATTGCACTTAAATCTATCTCGCCAAACACACAATTGTTTATTCGCGGTGTTTACACTGATTATCGTCTGTCGAGTTCGCGCGCCAACACAAAAATAACACATGTTGTGCGCAATAACGACCCTGTTTCATGTTCGATGAAAATTTACTGGATTGCCGCCTGCTCTGAATCACTGACCAAAGAACACATAGACTAGACATGTAGAGCAACGTTTTTCCACGCCGCAAAATCTGTGTGGCAGGTCCCAGCCAACTTCGTATTCGCTCGGCTTGGTATTGGCTGGCTCGGGTAATGAAAGATAGCACGACGAAATCAGTGCGCTCTAAGCACGCAAACGAAATGGTCATGCATGC